CGCAGGCACCAGTTATTGAATGTCTGTAATTTATTAGTAATTGCCTTAGTTGTTCTCCATGTTTCTGCCCCATATAATAGTACTGATTTGACATTAGAATTAAATATTTTTAGTTTACTATTTCTTTTAATTTCCTCTTGCCTTTTGTATTCTTATTTTAATATCTCTATCAGTTCCTAAATCTTTATTTACATTACTGCACAAATAGGTGTACGACTCCACGTCTTGGAGTGGGGTGTCATTAAGAGAAACCACACTACTATTTGCCTGATATATTCTCATTATCTTTGTCTTTCCTTTATGGATTTTCAGACCAAGCTGCTGTGATCTCGCATCAAGTATATTTAATTTATCTTGCATCTGATTCCGCGAATGGGACAGAAGAGCAATATCATCAGCGAAGTCCAGATCATCAAGCTGTTTTGTAGGGGTCCATTGAATTCCATTCTTGGTGTTAGCAGTTACTGTTTTCATAGTCCAGTCTATAGCCAGTAAAAATAAAAGAGGTGACAAAAGACATCCCTGTCGCACACCTGTTTTTATTTCAAATGCATCTGTTAGCTCTCCCTCATGAAGAACTCGACATTTCATGTCTTTATATGTTGCTTTTACTAAGTTGATAATTTTCTGTGGGATTCCATAGTGCCCCATCAATTTCCAGAGAGATTCCCTATCAATGCGGTCAAATGCTTTTTCATAGTCAATAAATCCAATGTAAAGTGGTGAGTTCACTTCAATGCTTTGCTCTATTATAATACGTAATGTGGCTATCTGGTCAGTACAGGATCTGTTTGACCGAAAACCTGCCTGCTCATCTCTTAGCTTTTTATCAATAGCATCTTTTAATCTTTCCAAGATAATTCTACTTAATATTTTTCCAGGAACTGACAGCAACATAATTCCTCTTTAGTTTTCACACTCCTGTAGATCACCTTTTTTGGGCAGTTTCACAAGATATCCTTCTCTCCAATCTGCTGGTATTTCTTCAGTCTCCCAAACTTTACTGAATAATCTATGTAGCAATTCTGTTGATGTGTTTATGTTGGTCCTGATGGCTTCAGCTGGGATACCATCTGGGCCTGTCGCCTTTCCTTTCTTGAGAAGATTGATAGCTTTTCTAATTTCCTCTTTGGATGGAATCTCACAGTTGATATCCAGTTACATTTCTAAAGGCTGTATATCTGGGGGAACCTCTGGACCTGGTCTATTTAGAAGCATTTCAAAACATTCAACCCATCTGTCCATTTGATCTTTAGTGTTAGTAAGTACCTGTCCTTGACCATTTTTGATTGATCCAGTCGGCTGACTATATTTACCTACTAATTTTCTTGTCTTACTGTACAGTTCTCTGAGGTTTCCTTTTGCTGCTGCTGTCTCCGCTTCTTGTGCTAGATCATTTAGATATTTCATTTTATCTGCCCGCATATGCCTCCTAACTTTCTTATTGGCTTCTGTGTATTTCTCAAGAGCTCTAGCTTTAGCAGCTCTAGTTTTGGTATTGTTTAAGTCTGCCTTTTGACTTTTCCTATCTTCAATCAGTTTATTGGTTTCTGGTGTCACCATGCTTTATGTTTCCTTTCTTTCTTGCCAAGAACTTCTACGCAAGATTCATTCCAGATTCCTTTGATCTGATCCCAGCAGACTTCTGTGTTGACATCTTCAGCTAACTGCTGCAAGACCTGGTACTTGTTAGAGACTGTAACTGAGAACTATTCCTTAACTTCTTTATCTCTGAGAAAGCCTACATTATATTGGTTTCTATGATTATAAGATGTTATATATCTTTTTAGTTTCAACTTGATTTTACTTACCACCAGGAAATAGTCAGTAAATACATCGGCACCTCTGAAAGCCCTAACATCGTAAAGGGATGATCAAAACATTTTGTTAATGCATAGGTGGTCAATTTGATTAGTTGTCATATGATTTGGTGATTCCCATGTTGCCTTGTGTATTCTTTTATGGGGAAAAATGCTTCCACCAATAACATACTGGTTTCCTGCACAAAAATTTGCGAACAATTCTCCATTTTCATTCATTACTCCTAGACCATGTCTTCCAATAATTTCTTCATAACATGTGTTGTCTGATCCTATCTTAGCATTCAGGACACTCATCAAAATTTTTTAATTGCCCTTTCTTTCATTATTTATAATATTTTGAAGCTGCATGTAAAGTTCTTCCTTAACAGATGCATTTTTAATGCATCTTTTAAATGCATGGCGTGACACTGTGAGCGGATTTCATTTTGAATGTTTTTTCGACTGTGACTAACGTGGTGGTGTGAGTTGTAGATTCAGAAAATGGCGCGATGCCTGTCGTCTCAATGTTGGTGGTGGCCTTATGTGATTAAAATTGATCGCGTGGGCAACTGCTGATCTGTTGGTGACTTCTGCTACCATCAATGATGAACTGCATTTCTAATGTCGTTAGTACTTCAGATCGCTACCGTATGCATTAATGCGTGGGTGTGCTAGATATGTTGAGACAGCAGTCTGTCAATCCTTGCACAAGGGACTGTGATAAACAGGAGCGAAGCAAAGATGGGGTGACCCGTTTGTCATGAAGCTATGAAGTAGTAGTAGTATTAGTAGTATTAGTAGTAGTAGTAGTAGTAGTAGTAGTAGTAGTAGTAGTAGTAGTAGTAGTAGTATGTGTAGTAGTAGTAGTAGTAGTAGTAGTAGTAGTAGTAGTAGTAGTAGTAAAAGTAAAGTAAAAAAAAAAATAAAGATCCTTTTTCACGCCTTTCGGCGCAACGGCATATGAGCAGAGCGTCCCATATTTTACAGACCATCAACACTCGGTGGGTAATGTGGTCAGCATTACGCATTTTAGCCTGGGTCGACCTGCGACGCCCTATACCACGACAAAAAGCCACGCAGCCTACAGTGGGTTTCGATCGCGGTATGCTGGCTTACGAGTCGGACTCGCAACGCCTTAGCCACGGACGCCGCGTAGTAGTAGCAGTCGAGGTTTAAATGTCACTGCAGTCGGGTTCCCCCCCCCCCCCCCCCCCAAACTTGCTCCGTTCCTGTGGCAGTGAATATAAAATGAAATGTCCCTCATTATCCCATTTGAAAAAACTGGTGACAAACAATTAGTCCCGGCACAATCCAGAAAGATGGGTACGCAGTAAATGCTTATGGCAGTTGCTAGAAAAACTAAGGCGAACAGTTGCCACCAGAAAATCAGTTTTCGCTGGCAGAAATAGCCAGTACCGATAAATTGGCCATACACAAGTAAAATTATTACATAAGGTATTACACCAGCCTGCACGTAATGAGGATACAGGCCATATTAAATACCATGATATAACCGCTACCCAGGTGAAAGATATTCCACTTGTAAAACAAAGCCCTCAGTGCTGAAAAAAAATCACTAAACCGAGTAGTTGAGGAAGCGTCACCAACATTGTATGGAAGATTAAAGATTATCTGTGTCAGAATTGATTGAAAGCACTGAGATAGAAGGTTGTAGGTAGACATGACTACCAACGTCACATGTGTCGACTATAAAAAAAAAAAAAGAGTTGGATGCGTGACTGAACAGACGATCGGCTGACTGGATAGTTTGGCTGTTTGATTGTTGGTTGTGTGGGTGGATGGCTGGGTTAGTTAGTTGGTTAGATTGGTAGATGATTGGTTGGTTTAATAATTATTTAGGTGGGTGGATGGTTGGGTTGGTTAGTTAGTTAGATGGGTGGATGATTGGTTGGTTGAATAATTAGTTAGGTGGGTGGATGGATAGTGGGTTGAATAATTCGTTAGATAGGTGGATGGATGGTGGGTGGACAGGAAAGTTTGTTGGGTGTACGGTTTGATGGTTGCTTGGGTGGTTTGATGTTCGTCTTAGTGGTTCGTTTTAATGATTTGTTGGATGGTTATTTGAATGGTTGGTTGGGTAGTTTGTTAGACTGCTGGCTGGCTTGTTAATTGGATTGTTGGTTTTATTATTGGTTGGATGATTGGTTAAATCGTTGTTTGAATGACTGGCAGAAAGCTGTTTGGATGTTTGATGGATGGTTGGTTAGTTAATTGGGAATTACCTAGAAGACTGAGATTTAACTTGATGAGAAAAGACAAAGGTTATGGCCTAGGGTTTATCCACAATGTTTGAAAGTTGGCAAAGATAGAATAGAGTATAGGCTCATTCAAAGGATCGGTCTGTCCTTCCGGGGTGCTACTTAAAGATTTCTTATACCATCCTGAGATTGAAGAATTTCAATCTGGATGGTAGACCAACAAGGTAGATCACAGGTACCCCGTTCAACATATTAAAAAGTTATAATTAGGCCACCAATACGGGTTTACCAGCCTACAGTCCTATGCAGGTACGGACTAGGAGTGAAGGAATAGACTGCAAGCTCTACGCGACTACAAAAGGCCCAAACAGAATTATGGTAAAGATAAAAATCCCATCGCAGTCAATACAAAGGAGACAACACCATCCGTGCGACAAGAATAACAGGACACAGAAATGGGCACTTTATTCGGTTAGGGACTTCTTCTTTACGTTCGGTTTCGTATGCGCAGGTCAGACCATCAGGTGGTTTGCCTCAGTGAACTCGCATGTCAGCTGCATGTTCTTCATGGTTCTCCATAGCTTGCTCTGCACATTTTGCTCTTGAGACCAGGTTTCTTTTCGAAACTGTAAGTAGAGTTGACAGGCCTGCAGAATGTTGTCAGGTGTTTGTGCTCTCCTCTGACATGCACACTGTGTGGACTAAAGTCTTTATTTTATGCATGTGATAGTTGAGCCTGCAGTGTTCTGCTCGTAGAGGGAAAATTGTTGTGTGTTGCTTTCTCTTAAGTCTGCTGATGGGGTCCTTCGTATGTTCTCTGTTGGTTTGTTCTTTCTACAATTTCTTTAATTTTCCTTTGATAAGTGTTTTGATTTCTGGTAATAACAATGCACGAGTGTGTTATTTATCCTTTGGCTAGGGACAGAAAACCATCGGAACAGGCACAAATACACAAATCTCAGACCATAAATACAACCAA